CCCCTAATTTGCCACTGATATCACCCTTTACATCTAAATCATGTACCCATTTTGACCTTACCTTGGTATACAGTGTGAGATGTTTGTCTATACCTAGTTTCTGCCATGCTGTTTTCCAGTTTTCCCAGCAGTTTTTGTCAATTAGTGAGTTCTCATCCCAAAAGATGGAGTCTTTTATCAAACACTAAATTACCATGACCATAGTACTACTGCATTTACTACCGTGTCCTGTGTACCTCAACTCTTCCACTGATCCCTGAGCCATTACCAAATAGTTTTGATGATTGCCACTTTCTAATATAGTTTGAGATCTCATACTATTAGGTCATATGGTAGAACTTGTGAGGGTTAGTGCCCAGACAGACTCCCTTCCATGCTAAGATAAGGTATCCCAGGAAGACTTTATGAACTTTGTATGCAGCAGATCTCCCCCTCCTGCCACTTTTCATAGATTCTTCAAAATCTCTTAAACTTCCTCCAAAAAAAAGAAATCCTAACTGCTAACATTATCTTCCCTGGTTCAAGACAAGCTGGGAGGTCCTCCCTTTTCACTTTGGGCTGGGTTGGGAATGACACAGATCTGCATTTGACAGAGGTCACACAGCTAGTAAGTGTCTGAGGCCAGATTGGAAGTCATGTTTTCTTGACTCCAGGTCCAGCACTCTATCCATTGCACTACCAAGCTGGGAGGGGACTCCAGGTCTTCACGGGCTCTCATCATCCCCTCTCTGTCCCTCCATGGAGGTACCCCTAATGAAGAAGTAGGAGGATGCCTGTGCATGAAGATTAACAAGGATAAAGCTACCAGACTGGTATAGAGTGAAGGTGAAAGGGTGGGGAGGTGAAGCGGGGAGAGGGATGAGGAGAGTTTAGAACAAGTACTAGAAAGAAGGAGGTGCCATCAGTGAACTGAGAAAGGGGAAAAGAGGACAGACAGACAGACAGACAGACATAGACAGACAGAGAAAGGAATCTCTGAAATTATCTAGTCTAACCTCCTCATATTTTCTCCCAAAACTTTTCTTTCTGTTGAGGCAGTGGAGGTTGGTGGGAGAAGCATCATGGTGGATTAGAGCCCACCCCACAGAGCATACCTGGGGATGGGTTGGGGAGGGGCATCCCATGGACCATGTGTAGCTCTGAACCCAGACCCTGGACACTTCTGGAAAGATATGTGCTCTGGTCTCTTGTGGAACCACTGGTTAGTACCCAAGTGCCATCTCCCCACCATTACCTTGATTGAGAAGGGGTACTTTGTCAAAGAGAATTGGCCACAGAGCAGAAAAAGTGGCCACTCATTAGACTTTGAGGGAAGAGACAATTTTCGTTCTCATCCTCTCATGCTTCTTTTCCAAACATTTGGCTTGATACCAATGTTTCTTGGACTTTCTATGGGGAAGAAAGGAGCTGCCTCTTTCCTCTCTTCAGCAGCTCATGGCAGCTGCAGCATGTGGTCATCTGGGTGAGCCTGAGGCTGGAACTCAAAGCTTTCACTGCTGAGTGCCCAGGGTTGCAGGGAGGGTCCCTCAATGTTTTCCGGGGTGCTTTCTCTTTTTTCTTTCCAGCATCTACCCTAGCCCCCATTTTACAACCTGTCCTCCAGTGGCCAGGTTTTCTACAAGTAAAACAAACTCCTCCCCTATTGATTTTGATGGGTGGGGGAAGGTAAGGGATGGGACAGTAAGGGATGGGCTGGGCATGGAGAGGAATGGGCTGCAGCTGCTGCAGAGGGGTTGCAAGGAAAACATTCCTTTTTCCTTCTCTAAGTTCCTTTTTACTATTTTCATCCTCCTCTGCCAGAGTACCTGCCAGCAGGGCTGGAGTCTCAGGGAGGAACCCAGTGTCAGAGTGGTCAGCTTAATTTGTTTAGAGATGGGTGGGCAAAGATTATTAACAAAGAAGGAAAGAAACTGAACTTGCTCCACAGTACTACCCTGCCGGAACAAGTCTGTCACAAGGCACATGCTCATTCTGCGGGAAAGTTGATGAGAAGGGCTGCTCCCTCCCCTTTGACTGTTCCACTCATCTGTCCCAGACTCAAAAATAATAACACCACTTAACTAACAAGTAAACATAGTACTTGTACAAAGTACTTGTAACTTAACTAACAAAGACACACAGTACTTGTATAAAGGGATACAACACAAATACACAAATATAAGTAATCCACACTGTACTAGTAAGCCATATGAATTACACAAGTAAACATTCCATACTTCTAACCAACAGCCCGATTAAAATGTTAATTTCCACCAGTTCCAAACACACACCAAACCAACCCTGTTAGCAATTCTTAGGCAAAAACAATTTGATGATTGCAGCCAATAAAAATAGAAACTGAAAATGTTGACTCATTGATTCATCTACTCTGTTCCAATCAGTATCAATCAATCTGATGTGATTCTATAGGGGTAGTGATTATAAATTCTGTATATTTGGCACCAGATCTGTGAGCTACAGATTGTAGGATCACTTGGTTAATCATAGGAAGTTAACTAAAGGCCCACTACCCTTGTTTTTCTTTGTCGTGGTGACCAGCCCATAGGGGCTGAGATGACCCAATCACACAGAAAGTCCCCTAATTTTATTTTTGAGCCTCCAGACCATTCTCTCTTGTCCAATATGAGCAGGTAACCATCTTATGACCATCTTATGACCACTTAGTCAGTGGAAATGCCCCGTGTTTCACCCAATCTGTGACCTCCCTGCTAATATGTCATTTGGCCATCAAGAACAAGGTCTATCAACCAATGACATTCTGTATTCTGCCATGCCTCTTTCGCATATTTGGGCAAGAATAAGCAATGTATAAATCCCTACTTTGCATAAGTCACATAGGAATATAGTTTCTAATAGAAGGGCCCTATAATAGTCCTCAGACTTTAATGTAATGCTTATTACTTGTTTGTGTGGTTTGTCCTTTGGTCCTGAAGAGGACCTTAACATCAGGAAGATGATGCCATGATTTGCAAGTGAATTGGTTTGAAATGAGGGAGGGTTGTGCAAAGTCACCAGCCTCACTTCCTCCTCCAGAGCCGTCTTTTAATTATCTGTTTGCCAGTTGTAAAGTTCATTTGCACAATCATAAGAATGCTAACAACTCCTCCTCCTTCTTCTCCTCCTCTTCCTCACCATAACCACCATCATCTTCCTCCTCCTCCTCCTCCTCCTCCTGCTCCTGCCACTGTTGCTTCTCCCCCCACTCCCCACCCCTGATCCCTTGGATCTGACCATCCTGGTGCCTCTTTTGTGAAGCTATGGCTGAGGAGACCCCCGGACTCACCAAGACTGCCAAAAAGCCGAAGGAAGGCATCAAGACCGAAAACAACGACCTCATTGATTTGAAGGTGGCAGGGTAAGATGGTTTGGTGGTGCGATTTAAGATTCAGAGGCACACACAACTTAGTAAACTAATAAAAGCCTATTGTGAATGACAGGGTTTGTCAATGGGGCAGGGCAGATTCAGATTTGATGGGCAACCAATCGATGAAACAGACACACCTGCAGAGTTGGAAATGGAGGGTGAAGATACAATAGACGTATTCCAGAAGCAGACAGGAGGCGCTGACTAAAAAGAGAAGACGCAACTCCACTCCAGAACTGTGCTCCCAAGGAAAACAATACATTCACAATTAGAAAACCAAGATTTGGTTCATCTACATCCTGAGTACTGCAGCATAGTTTTCTCTCCTTTGATTCCCTTCCCCCATTCCTTTATTGTCATAAAGTAACTAGTGTATGTGCACAAGCATAATGCATATATTTTTTAACTAAATGGCTGATGATATGTTTTGATCAACAGCAAATGGAGATGGGGAGGGGAAAAAACAAACTGGTTCTGTGAAAACATCCCTTTTCTCCATTAGGGCATGCTCATCCAACTTTTATCTTTATATTCCAGTAAGTTATTTGGCTCTCACTGTTTAACAACAACAACAACAAAAAAAACCCACAAAAAATCCTTGCATACCTTGTTTGATTGGATAATTCCAGAGTTTTTCTTTTGTCCTTGTAAACCCAAGAATGATTTTATAACTTTTTTGTACATAGCTGTTACATTCAGGGCAAGCTCTGTTTCTCAGTAGAGCTAAATTACTATAAAAAATTGATCCTAGATAGTTTTCCCTTCAAGTCAAACATCTTGTTGTTTAAATAAACTTCTTGTTTAAAACTTAAAAAAAAAGAATGCTAACAAAAATATTTCCATCCTGATTTGCTAAATTCTATGACCAAACCAAGCACAGGTTGTGGCATGGTATGGAAAGTACCCCCTCCCCACATGTTCTTCGACTGTATGTATAGCTCCTTCCTAACCTAAGGAGAAGCCCTTCCATCTGGTCCGTGGAGATATTTCCTGCTTTACCCAACCTGTGACTCTGCTGATATATTATTTGCTTATTTTAGCCTATAAATCATATGTCCACCAATAGAATTATTCTGTATTTGGTGTAGCTATTCAAGAATGTCTACATATCTAGCCCTATAAAAATTGGGCCCTAGAAGGAGGGCCGATCTCAGATTGTGAGGAAGATCTGAGGTCAACTTCAGTCTCTCTTATTGTAAGTTGGATACTTTTTATTGCCACAAAACAAAATCAAGACAAAAACAAAAAACCGAATGCATACAAAAAATATTTGCTGTTCCATGTGCCAAAAAAAAACAAAAGAAAAAAACAAAGAGCAGAGTGCTTCCCAGTCCACCATCTTATGCCCCAGATGACCTCAAAGGGTCCTTCCGTTTCTACCATCCTCTGATCCCACAGAAGACAGGAGAGGAGAGTCTGGAGTAAAGTGTCAGCTAAGCCCATCAGGCTCCAGCAGCTGGGGCAGTGTGGTTCAGTGAAAAGAGGTGTGGATTCAGGAATTTAGCAGGAGGAAGAAGGCTGGAGGAGGGAGGGGATCCAGGGACACTGAACAATGGAGGGGTGGGACAAGCCATGGGCAGGTCTGGCAGGGAGAAATTGTGAAGCACCAGGTGTGAGAGCAGAAGGCAGGTGTGCATCCTCAACATGTGGCAATGGGCTCAAAAACTCTGGGGATCCTCACGACGCCGACTATCACTCATTCAAGGTGTTGGTCCAGCCATGGCCACTCTCAGGAGCAGTGAACCCAGGTCAGTCCAGAACACACAGGGCCACCTCTGCTCTTTCCTGGCCCTGACCTCTCCTTCTGCTCCCACAACTTTTTCCTGCTCTTCTCTCTCCTCCAGTTCCCCTCTCCCATCTCTTTCCCTACACTAATGCCCTTCCTTTCCTGACCCCCTCCCTCCTTCCTCCAAGCTTTCCCTTCTCCATGTGTCCTCCCTCACTTCCTTTCCTCTTACCCACTCATCTTTATTCTCTCTCCCCCTTACCCTGCTTTTCTTTCCTCCAGACCCTTCTCTCCCTCCCTTCTACCCCCACTCTCCTTCCCTCCTATATCCCTTCAGTTCACCTCTCTCCCCTTTACCCTTCCTTGTCTTCCCTTGGTCAGCCCTCCCCTCTTTCCCTTCCTCTCTTCCTACATGGACCATCCCAGCTCTCCTCTTTCTTTCCCTTCTTCTGTTTTTGCTTCTCCCAAACCTCACCTCCTTCATCTCCCCCTCCTTGTGGCCAGCCCTGACTTCTTCCCTCCTCCCTAGCTTCCGCCTGACATCCACTTGCCCTGGGGCTGCTCCTGACTCCCCCTCCTATCTCAGACCTTCCACCCCACAGCCCAGCTGTTCCTCCTGTGGATGAACATGCACACTTCTTTATCAGAGGCACTCAAATGGGGGAGATAAGAGCCCAAGAAACCCTGTACTCCCCTACTATGCCATGTTCCTACACATCTCCTGATGAGATCCATCCCCCCTCCTCTGCCCTCCTCTCTCCTCGCCCTGGCCAGGCCAGTGCCCCTCTCTTACAGGCTCCTGGATGGTCAGGACACTCTCCCACCTGTCGTTTTCCTGCATGGGCTGTTTAGCAACAAAAACATCTTCCAGGCTGAGGCTGAGGCCCTGGCACAGCAGACAGGCAGAAAGGTAAAGATTCCCAGAAAGAGATGAGGTGGAAGAGGGAACAGTCTTTGGGGAGGGACAAAGTCAAAGGAAGAGGGGAAAAAGAGAATGTAGGGGGAGAGGGGAAATTGAAATGAGAGGCAGGAGCTGTCAAGGTGGGATAGACCTTCACTCACAGGGCATGACTTGAGGGGCACCAGGAAGTCTATCCACAAACTGCCACTGGATGTATTGGGTTCCTTCTCATAGGAAACTTTCATGCAAAGGACAGATGATCACTTGGTGGGGGGATTTTTGTTCAGCCAAAGGTTGGACCAGAGGTCCCTTCCAGCCTGGAGATTCAATGAAGGTCTCCTGCCCACTAAATATCTCCACTACTGAGAACTGGAATTCTATTCATCTTGGAGGTGTCACCATGGCTCAATTGAACTTTTTTAAAAATTTATTTTAAATAGCACACATTCCTAGTAATGAATAGTAATTCGAATGCCTTTATGGTTAATGAAGTTACTAGTTACTTTCTTTCCTAATGTTAGAAAGTAAAAGGAAATGGAAGAAACTTGAAAGTCAGGGAAAGAAAGAATCAGTGACCCAAGAACCAGCACTGACCACATTCATGGGAAAGGCAGCAGAATATTTTCCTTTCTAATTGCTCTTGTCCTACTATGGTCCCATCTTCCCTACTTCCTCCTATTATCAGCAACTACTCAATAGCCCCTGGCTTCCTGGACAGTCTAGGAGTCCTCAGGAAGCCTCTATCAGCTTCTGGCAGTGGGTCAGCACCCCCAGGGTTGAGAGGGAAGGGGGAGGAATCAGGGAGACTGATAAATCCAAGTCTCTGGCCCACAGGTATTGACAGTGGATGCTAGGAACCATGGAGAGAGCCCTCATAGCCCTGACTGCAGCTATGAGGCCATGAGCGCCGACCTGCAGGCTCTGCTGTCGAAGCTAGGACTCAGCCCCTGTGTCCTCATCGGGCACAGCATGGGAGGCAAGACAGCCATGGCGCTGGCACTGCAGAAGGTGAGGGAGCCCCGCTAGGGCTGAAGGGGCAGAGGGTCATACCTGTCCACAGGCAACAGCAGCCTGTAACCCCATAAGCAACACCAAAGATTCATCATGCTCAGCCAGCTGCTTGTGGGGTTGGGGGTGGAATGAGGCTGTGAGTGAACACTGGGACAGGAAACAGAGAGTTCCTGGGGGAATAACATGAGCTTTACTGTATACACTTCATCTTTCTAAATCCTAATGGACTGAAGGGAAGTTGTGGATGCCTCCCCCGGGCCTGGGAGATTTCAGGGTTCAGAGTCAAGTTCTAAGAACTTTTCCTCATAAATGTCACCAGCTCTCCATGGCTAACCCAGAGCATGCAAACAGGAAGGCTGGCATCAGGACCACTTACAGGCTATGGAATGGGCACCTATATATAATCCCCCATCGCTCTCCTTTGGGGACCATGGCTCCCACTTTATCTGCTCTAGTACCATCACTAGGTGCATGGAAGAGGAGGGAGGCCATTGTTCCCTGATCATTGTGTGATGGACTTTCTCCTTTAGCCAGAGCTGGTGGAACGTCTGGTCTCAGTGGATATCAGCCCCTTGGTGGCCACCGACATGCCAAAGATCTTTAAAATTATACCTGTTATGAAGGCTATAAACATCCTTGGAGATATTTCCAACTCTGAAGCTTTTGAAGTAGTTGATGAGTATCTGAAGCTATTTGTCAAGGTGATCCTTCAGGACCCCCAGGGCTGGGGGTGTGGAGATAGGCTGCTGAAGCCACAAGCCAATCATTTGAGTTTGGAATCCTCAGGAGAGTGGAGGCGGGGTGGAGTAGAATGCAGCCCAGAAGGAGAAAATCTCTGGGGGGGAGGGGATGGGTTAAGGAGAACAGAGAGGGCTTCAATTATGAGCTCCTCCAAGGCCAGCCCTATGTTCTACTTTTCTTTGTGTTCCCAGCACTTTGTATGCCAAGAGGAGGCATTTACTAAATGTTGACATGAAGGGAGAAGGGTGTTTAGAAATGAGCTGGAGTCTAGTCTGAGTAGGACTCAGAAAGGGATGGGATTGGTGGGGAGAAGACAGAGGCTCAGGTGGGTGTTCCAGCTAACCCCTTGTACCCTCCAGGATTCAAGTATTCGGCAGTACCTGTTCAACAGTCTGGTGCGGGTCAATGGGCAATATGTGTGGAAAGTCAATGCTGAAAACCTGTGGCAGCAACAAAACTTGTTTCTGGATAGTCTTCATATCCAGGGTGTCTATCGTGGCCCCACACTCTTCCTCAGAAGCACGAATTCGTCCTTCATCCCGTAAGGCAGGGCCAGAAGGTGGACTGGCATGCCAACCCCAAAGAGTTCTGCCTTTCTTGGGCCTCAGTTGGGTTCTCCATCACCCAGGATGAGGGCACCTGGGGGCTTCAGCTATGCTTGGGTTCAGGAGGGGAGGGTCCCTCCAACACTGGAAGAAAACATGTGTATTATCTCAACTTGTGCCTTTCTGTTTGCCTAGCTTGTTTTTCCTCCTGTCACCTCCCATTCCTATTACTCCACCTTTACCTTTTTGGCTGCCTGTCTCTGATTCTCTGACTCATCTTTTACCTTCTCTCTCTCTCTCTCTGCCTCCTTCTCTGTTTCTGTCTCTGTCTGTCTCTCTGTCTGTCTGTCTTTGTCTCTATCTCTGTCTCTCTCTGTGTCTCTCTCTCCTCTCTACTTTCTCCCTTTCCTTTTCTCTCTCATCCTATAGCCCTCATCCTCTTTTTCTTTCCCCTTTCTACCACCCTCTCCTTTCCTCTTTTCCTCTCTTATCTTCCTTCATTTTCTCTCTCTTTCTCTCTTGACAGGTCTAGTCACTACTCCAAGATTAAGTTACTGTTCCCTGAAGCCCAGTTCCAAACCATCCCTGATGCTGGCCACATCATCCATATCAAGAAGCCCCAAGAGTTCATGAACAGTATCCTCAGTTTCCTGTCCTAGAAGATGTTCCCTCTCCTCACATTCCACTTTCCAACTTTCAAACACTCAGAGAGCCCTAGGCACTTCCTTTCTTTGGAATCTTTCTTTTTAAAAAAAAATCATCTTTTTCTAATTCAGAACTGAACAAACACCAATCAATATGATCATTCTCATAGGAATAGAATAAGAGAAAAAGAGAATTGTAGAAATTGTGAATCTCTGTTATGAACAGCTTGGGATATTTTTTGAATTGTATGATAAATTCAACATTGTAAAAAATGATTTCTCTTGGTAATCTGTGTTTTAGGGACTCAAAACTCCACCCCCCAGCCTTCTGCTTCAAATTTCATCAGAAAGATCCCTGATAATGAGATTGCATTGAATCTTCTTATCCTGGTCAAACCCAACCCACACCTGAATTGATTTTATCCTACTCAGGCTTGGGTGGAGACTATTGCCCGGATAGATTGAGGCTAGGAGTGGTCTGGTGGAATGATCGCAGGTTTATATAAGGCCCTGTTGAAAAGGTGTATAACCCTGTACCCCCAAATTCCAAATCAACACTCACACTCACTCACTCACTTCGTTTGTCTCTTTCTCTGTAATGAAGAAATTGGGGTTCACATTAATGGTGCCATGACTCGGATTTGGACTTGTATTTTTGGGGTATACTTTTCACCCCAACAGGGCTAGGGCTGTGCACCCACAGGACTTTTTCCTAAAGTCCCAGCCCTGAAGGGTGGGTGTCCTGCCCTAAATCCATGCCCCTTATCTATCAGATTTCTCATTTTATGTTGTAGTCCATTTTCCTCCAAGTGGCTCTGGGGTCGGGGACCTCAAAAAAAAAAGATCTCTTCTGAAAGATATCCTTTGTAATTGACTAGAGGTCAATCAAAGTAAATTGGCATGTGATAACTCTGAATTTTGACAGTGTCATTCTAATTCTAAATTGATTTATCTTAAAAACAAACTAAGCCTAAAAAACCAAGAAAATTAGATTTGTGTGCACTTTGTCTTGTCGAGCTGTTTTTGTCTCTGTGTGTGTTTGTAAAATGTTTCATATTTGTGGTGAAAGATTTAAAATTAAGTCAGAAAAACTTCTAAGGAACTCTAAGTTCTGTAATTAGAGAGAAAACACTGGGAATAAACTCCCACCTTAGGCTTTCAGTGGGAGATTAAGATTCTTTTTTTGGGGGGTCACAACACTGACCAAGTTGGGATACCAAAATAAGGTTAGATAATGAATAATGGAATCAAAAAGCAGGGAGAGACTCTCCCAGAAGTTAGTGAAAGGTAGAATCAGTTAGGAAGCATCTTTAGACTGATAAGAATCTAGGCCAGACAAGGGCTTAGAGAGAGAAAAGGCTGAGAGTTTGAATTACTGTCTTTGCAACCCTCCTGCCAATGTATTTGATGTCACAGCAATATATTTAAAACTGCAAAATTAAGAGTTTTTCTGTCTTTTAAGCATTAATATTATAAAAGCTGTTTGTGAAGGGTGTGGGGAAAATACAGCTCTCTTGATTTGTAAATTACTAGCCATTAACTTCCTCCAAATTCTAACAGGTAAAAAGAAGCAGGACAAAAGTGGGGTGAGTTTAATTTTTTAAAATTTGGAATGTAAAGGAAAGTGAAAGTAGTTTGAGTAATGAGTTTGAAAGGAATAAAAGTTTGAGTGAAAATATGACAGGTAGAAAAAAAATGGTTTGGGAATAGATGGGGGTGAGGTAGTCCGCAGCAAGCCCATGTGCTTTTTTTTGGATGCAACACTTTTTGTGGGGGGGGGGCTAGGCAATGGGGTTAAGTGACTTGCCCAGGGTCACACAGCTAGTAAGTATTATGTGTCTGAGGCTGGATTTGAATTCTGGTCCTCCTGAATCCAGGGCCAGTGCTGTATCCACTGTGCCACTTAGCTGTCCCTAAGCCCATGTGCTTTAAAGCCCCTCATCCTTGGATAGTTGTTCTGGATGCTTTTGTACCAGTTTCAGATGGTTTAAGCATGTTGAGGTGGTGTGAGGAAGTTTCATTTTGTTTTAAGTAGAAGAATTGAAAATGAAAATTTTGTAGCTTTATTTGTAGTTTGATTTGAAAACTGATAAAGTTATAGAGGAGCTACGTCTACCCACCTTTCAGGATAAACTGGTAGGAAGGCCTCATTAAATCTAACCTTACATAAATATTGGATATGTTAAAGATATTGGTTATTGTGATTTGTAATTATTACATAAAATCTTGATATGTTTCCTTGTACTGTTCAATTTATTATTGGAGGTTTATGCTTGGGAAAACTAGCCACACCTTGTCACTACATCAAATTCTTTAGGTCTCTTTGCCTGGGCCAAACCCTTTAGCTAACTTCATGATTATAGATGATTTCAAATTGCCTATAAAACTTATATGGTCTAATTTGGGGCAGCTAGGTGGTGCAGTGGATAGAGCACAGGCCCTGAAGACAGGAGGACCTGAGTTCAAATCTGGCCTCAGACCAAACACTTGACACTTACTAACTGTGTGACCCTGGGCAAGTCACTTAACCCCAATTGTCTAAACAAAAAAAAAAACCAACAACAAAAAAAAGAAGCCCAAAAAAGAAAAAAAAAACTTATGTGCATCAGCCTGAAAATCCCAGGAAGTTGGAATGCTTAGGGTAGTTTTTATCTTATAAGCCTCAAAAAGATGACTTCTCAGCTCTCTTAAGGAAGTAGAGAGGAAAAAAAACGTTATTCAGAGCTGGGAATTGTCACCACATGTCTTTTTAAGGGAATATATGAATTTGTGGATAATGTTTCCTTTCAAAGGGCCGATAGTATTGAATTTTTAAGAAAATTAATTAAAATGTTTCTCGTTAGTGATTTCAATCCAGATTTGATTTGATTTAAGTAAAAAAAAAAAATCTGTCCGGAAAGAATAAGAACAGCATCAGACAATACTCTTTCTATCAGGGTTAAGCACAAAAAGATATTGCTATTTGGCATTAAGAAATTTATTAACTGTCTTGCCCCAAAGAAGTTCTATTTACCTCAGGTTACTGCTCTGTAAGGGGATGATAGTGAAACCCACTTCCCAGGGATGTTATGAGGATAACATTATTGTAAAGTGCTTAACACGAATTAAGATTGTTAACTAAGCTATTTGGAGTTATTGTTTAAATCAAGTATTTATAAAGGTATTTTTGTGAAAGGAAATTTGGTAATTATGCAAAGGACCTTGGAAAACCTCCTTGTAATTAATTTAGTTTGTTATAGTAACAGGATAAATTATAAGCTTTTTTTTTTAAGAAGGGGAAATACTTTTTACAAAGAAATGTTTTGCAAAATCTTTTGTGTGACTTTTGGAAGGCCTACTAAATTTCCATTTGCAAGCTGATTTGTTGCAGTAATAATTTTATATTGATGACTATTACGCCCAAACCTACTGTGAATTTTGAGTTTCATTCCTAGGTTTGTTGTGTCCTTGGACTGGCCTTAATGGGTGCTTTCTGAGAAAGCATCAGAGCCAGCAGCTCGGTGGGAGCAGCATCAGAGTTTTAAGACTGGTGATTAATACTAAAGCAACTACTGTGATGAATTGTAAGTGGGAAAGATCTTGCTGTTTTGATCTGAATGGTTAAAATTAGTGTTTGATCTTATCACATGTATAAGATTCAGTTCCTTAAGTGTTTCGTTCTTTCAGATTAAGTATAGTTAGAGAAGGATAAATAAGCTTAAGAAGCAGAGATGCAAATCTATTAGAGTAGTAACTTATGATCTTAATGGAAATTTAATTTTACTCATAATGTTGTTTAATCAGGAACTAGAACTCATGTAGGAATACATGCAAACTACTTAAGGCTCACTTTAAAGATGTTCCCTAACTGATGTGATATTATAGTCACATCTGAAATTCTGATTATTGGAACTTGCTATTCAAGACTTTATAAGACTGGTAACTGACTTTATTCTGAGTCTGACTCCAGGTATGGTTATCAAGGAAAGCTATTGAACCACTGATCCATGATACCAGCAACCCTGTGAGAGTCTATGAACTGCAAAGGGTATTCTCATGGGAAAGTCAGGAAAACAACTATTCTGCATGAGCTGAGGTAGGATTCTCCTGACTAAATTTTCCCACTATGACACCTGGCAGACTTTAAGTCTAGCTCAATGCAATTGGCCATCCACATGACTTCTGCCTGGAATTGAAATGAAGTTAGGGAGACATGGTTCCCTTACTTTTGTTACGTCCCTATTCTTTTATGGCAAATTTTTATAATCAAAAGTTTTGTAAGCATAGTATTAAATCTATTAAAGAATAGATTGATGCTGGAACATCTGAGGTTACTATAGTAAGATGCAAGTATAAGATTGAGCTATTTGGACTAGAATTTTAACCCAAACAACTACTTAATTAAGTATTTAGCCTTGACATCTATTACTAGTATATATTCCTGTATGAGTTAAAGTCCTTTAATTCTTCCTGTTAATGCCTTAAAAGAAGCATTCACTTTAATTAGGTGTTATTTATTTGAACATGACCAGAAGTTAGAATTGTTTTATTGATATATACTGTTTTAAAATTGATCACTCGGGCAGCTAGGTGGTGCAGTGGATAGAGCACCGGCCCTAGATTCAGGAGGACCTGAGTTCAAATCCGGGCTCAGACACCTCACACTTACTAGCTGTGTGACTCTGGGCAAGTCACTTAACCCCATTGCCTAGCCAAAAATAAAATAAAATTGATCACTCAATGTATTATGTATGTATTGGAGTCCATCTTTTTATAAAAAGTGTTCTGTTATTAATTGCTTGGTGGAATCTCATCCTCTTGATAGGGAATGCATGTGAAGTATAAAAATTGGATTATTTTATAATAATAGAGACATAAAGGTTGAGTTAACTTTCATTATTTGACCTGGTTATTGGCAAGGTAATTTAAAATTGTGTTAAGATCAATTTTGGAAGAGAGTGGACACAAGAAAGAGGAACTTTACAAGAAGACACTCTGCTGGAGACTGCCTGAACATCACTCAGACCAGAAAAACTTCATCAGATGTCCCCCCACCCCAACAGCTGTATGAGATGAGACTTCTGAATCTTAAATGGACAATTTATTGTTTATACTTACTAAGGGGACTGCACCCTTGATTTGTGAATGCATTGATGAATTTCTCCCCCTCCTCTCCCATATTGCTATAAATCCTCAAAACTCAGTTAGTGATTCATTGAGAAAGCTACATCTCTCATTAGAATCAGATGGGGGAATGTGAAAAATGATTTCTCTTGGTAATCTGTGTCATGAAGATTCAGAGCTCCACCCCACAGCCTTCAGCTTCAAAGTTCATCAGAAGGACACCACTGACAATGAGATTACGTTGAGTCTTCTTATCCTGGTCAATCCCCACCTAAACCTGAATTGATTTTATACTACTCAGGCTTGAATGCACAGATACTACTGCCCAGACAGATTGAGGATAGGAGTAGTCTAGTGGAATGATGGCAGGTTGATATGAGAACCTGTTGAAAAGGTGTATAACCCTATACCATCAAATTCCAAATCAATCC